TGCCGTCGCGTGACTCGATCGAGGTCGCGCGTTGGCCAGGCGCTCGGATACGAAGTGTCGCACCTTTGTTCGCCATCATGGCCTTGGCAGTGTCATTGTTGAGGGCGCCTTCTTCATCTGAATACACGACTTTGAAGGGTCCATGCTAGGCAATCCAATAGTAGTGGTAGGCGTCGAGTAGAGTGTCACGTTCTCTATCAGAAATCCCTTGGCCTGCTGCCAGGCGGATACATCGGCCCATCATATGAAATATGGTCCGTTTCTTGTAAAACATGAGATCTACTTCGCCTTCGTCAAGCCAATGTCCATGAAGGCTTTGGGAAGGTAGCGCAGAATTACCTGGACGTTCCCATGCTCTACATCCCCGACATGTGTCACAGATTTCTTGCTCAAATTCAATCGAACGTTATCCAGTCTCACTTTATCTAGGGTCAGCCTCATCTTGGGTTCCTTCGCACGGTACCACCGTAAGTGCAGTGTACGAAGTTCCTGTTTGACTACGTGAGGTTCGTGACTGCGGAGGTTTTGCAGAATGCGTTGGGTGTCAAATCTCGCCCAGTCGGGCAGTCGTGGAGCCCCCGAGCCGGTTGAGGCAAGAGGGTTCTTCGTAGCTCTCCGCAGTCGGTCCCCTTCGCCAGCTGCATCTGGCGGTGGAAGTACGCCTTGTAGGCGACCACGGCGGGCCGCTACTTGTGGCGGCTCGCCCGAAGACGTGGAGGGCGCGTTTCCACGCTCGGGCGCGTCTCGCAGTAAGTCGTAACTGCTGGCGCCAGATGTAGGATCAGCGTTCCCAAAAGGCTCGTGGTCGCGGTGGTCTGGCGCGAGCGCCCCGACGGCCACCCGATGCCGAAGCTTGGCCCTCCCCAGGCTTGGGTAAGGGTTTCCACCAAGCTGGCGCATTGCGGCCCTCGGGATCATGATCATCTGGGAGTTTGAACGGCTCGGCAAAACGGCATTTGCCGGGCTCCGTGCCGAGGTGGTTCTCAACGCCCTTGCTTCTCGTAAGATCCCTTTGGCATGCAAGACATGGCCAGTATACAGAGATAGAGTCATGATACTTATACTGTGTAGGATCTCTGTTGTGGCTGGGACTGTCCTCTCGGACGTTGTCGATGCATGCTGGGCATGTAGCCACTTTTGGGATGATGCGATCGCCGATGCGTCTCACTCTCCTGGTTCAGCTTGATCAGGAAGGCCAGCAGGGTAAGCATGCGCAGTTCGTGTAGGCGCGTCTCCGCGCGTGGTGTCGATGGCTTTCGCCAGATAGACGGTTTCCACAAAGGCAGACTGCAGTCGTCGAGTGAATTCTTGTGCCAGTGAAACCTCTCTGTTGCACGGTCGGGCGTGCACATGCTGACCGTTGCATTTGAGTCGCCCAAAGGGTTTAAGAATGGTCTTGTCGTTGCTGGTGATATTTGTCGGCTTGTTGATATAGCCACTAACCATATCTTTAAGTCCTGTCGCACATTGGTCGATGCGCACGGTCGTGATATGTGATCGGTCGGCAAGTTCTTTCCATGGGGAGATATCATCCACCCAGGTTCCTGTGGGTTGTTCGCGTATAAACCACCTCCGTGCACTATCTTGACTAACAGCTATTTTACCACAACAAGTTATGTGTGGCAAATATTATTTATGATGCTGTTCCCAAGTGTTATAGTTGGCTTGGTAGTTGTAGTAGGATGGTGGCCCTATGGTGCGGCAGCTGGGCTGTAGCATGGCCACTCGTACGTGGCATGCTGCGAAGTAGTGGTCTATAGCTCGCTGCGCCGAGGGATCTCGCAGGTCGACGCATGTGGTCTTGTCTAAGTTGCCTCCTGAGGAGAGACCCCTTGGGAATGCAAGCTCTGAAATGCCACCCTCACCTCCACAAAGCTCCAACATATCCACGCAATTGTTGTGACCATAACATTGAGTAGCCACCATGCTGTATATGTCCGCGTGTGCGTCGGGCATAGATGTGGGGAGGGTAAGGAACACGTCATCTTCCTCATCTGAGCTAATCAGCTCGACAAGGACGTCAGTGCTCCAGGTCGCCATACATCCTGTCCGAGTCCTGACAAGTCGTCACCGCAATCATCGTTTCCATCTTCAACGTGTTTTTTGATGCGGCGAGGCTTGATGCCTGCCTCCTTTCGGCTTTGAGCCTTTCCTTCTGTTTGATTCGCGACTCCGTAGGTAAGACTTGCTCGTCTTGTTCACCGGTCTGTGTGCCCATCGTCGTTGATGAGAGGGTGCCTGCGTCAACCGCCAGAGTCGGGAGGGGAGAAGGACAGTCATCTATGATGACGCGTCTGGGTTTCTGTGGTGATTGAGTAGGCTCGTTTCCGACCATGACCGGTTCCTCGGGCTGCCAGTACATCCGTGTACTGATGTTGGCAACCCCTGCAGGTAGTGGCGCATGCCAATCATATCCCGTTGGTTGATCGGCTACTGCGATATCATGAATAATCGCGTTGGTATCCAGTTTAATCGTTGCACGTTGGATGACATCAGACCATTTCGGTCCTCCTTTGCTGGTCGTCACATAGTGGTGTATGTTGTAATCCGTACGTGTATAGGTGTTCAAGTATATCGGCACGTTTCCGTGCGTAGTGTTGCTTCCCAGGGTTCTGTCGTTGAGGTGATGGATAAGTGTGATGCGTGTCTGGGCTCGCCACTCAGCATGTCGTACCGTTTGGCCGTACCAATCCAATACATGTTGTGGTATCGCCAGTTTGCACGTACATGCCCACAACTGAGAGCTAATCGGTATCGATGTGGCTACCTGCATAGGTGCCACTCGGTGTATTGTCTTGCATATTAAACCTAATACCGACATGCAATAACCGCATACGTACTACCGTCAACTTGAGATCTTCCAGAGTATCACGTATTGGAGATAACTTCCAAACGTATCCTAGGGGGCCAAACACTATCATTTTCATGCGGGGCTTCTTGGCTTTTGCCAGAAAGTTCTGAATGCGCGACCAGTGTAGGGCTACTCTCTTTCCTGGGGTTCGTACGTACCAGTCAGCCGGGGTACTAACCCATATTAGAGTATAATCCCCACTGATCACCGCACCCAGGTAATCTGTGCCCACAGTCGTCATGAGCTCATTGTGGGAAATGCGATCACAGATGTTTAGAGGCTCACCACCGAAAAACTCACCCCAAGACAGGAGCAGCGGAAAGGCGCCAGCCAAAAGAAATCAGGACCACGAGGCAACAGCGATGGACCGACGATTTTCGGTCCTGACAGATGATCCGGGTGCCGCCGAGAGCGGCGGCTTCCTTTGCTGAAGTCCAGAGGCGGGCTGGCTGGGCGACGGGCACAGCGGTTGGCCCCGCTCTGAACTCACAATCCCCAATACCGGGAAAGGAGGCAGAAAAGTACGAAGACGAAAGAAGGGAGGGAGGGAACAGGGAGAACTTGAGACGGAGAACACATGCATAACACGTTATACAGACGGCGCATCTGCTGCTCCCCGCCCCCCCCCGATGTCCAAGGTAAAGGTCGGGGGGGGGGAAGGGGTGAGAGGTGGAGGCCCGAAAAAATCATTGTATCTTATACAACACACATTTAGAGGCTCACCACCGAAAAACTCACCCCAAGACAGGAGCAGCGGAAAGGCGCCAGCCAAAGAAATCAGGACCACGAGGCAACAGCGATGGACCGACGATTTTCGGTCCTGACAGATGATCCGGGTGCCGCCGAGAGCGGCGGCTTCCTTTGCTGAAGTCCAGAGGCGGGCTGGCTGGGCGACGGGCACAGCGGTTGGCCCCGCTCTGAACTCACAATCCCCAACCCACCGCTGATACGCACAGCGCCTGGATGATGTGGCCCAGGGCTCTGGGTGGGCGGGGTTGCCACGTCAGCCGAAATCATTCTGCCTCCACCAAACCAAAAAATCAAATGAGTAAAAGCATTCACTCTCGCGCCATCTTTGGACGCGGTGCCTGTCTGGCCAAGAGCTCCCGGCCACGAGCCATCACGGCGGCAGGCACAGCCGCCCTTGCGGCCACCAAGGCGTGCGTCTTCATGTAGCGCAGCACCGACTTCTCCGAAGCCCAGCGGCCCCGCCGCTGGATGGCCCACACCGTCCGGTAGCCCTCCGCCGCGTCGTGGCTGGGGCCAGAGTGCCTCGCGGAGTGGGCGGGGAAGGCGGCGATGCCGATGTCGTCACTGGCCTTCCGAAGGGCCCGACGGTAGGACTCCACCGAGCAGCCGAAGACCAGCTCGCCCGGCTTCTTGGCGGCCTTGCGCGCCCGCAGCATGTCGGCGATGTGCGGGCGATCAATCAGCACGCCCTGCCTCACTCCCGTCTTGGTGCGCTCGTTCCGCTCCTGCACTCCCAGCTTGATGGCCACCACGTCGTTGTCGGCGTCCACGATGTCCTCGACCCGCAGCGCGAAGACCTCCGCCGAGCGCAGGTAGGCGTCGACCGCCAGCGCTGCTGCGTCTGCTGCCTCCACGGCCCCGGCCAGCCTCATGGCCTCGTCCAGGGCGGCCCACACCTCGAGCGGCTGGGGCCCACCCTCGCCGGCAACGTGCATCTTGTGCCACGCCCTCAGAGCGCGGTTGGCGCGCGGAAGGCCCGTAGATAGCTCAGGCCACACGAACGCCATGCCGTGCACCACGTAGTCGCCCCTGCGCGGGCCCACCTCCTCGTCCTCGACCAGGTAGTCTAGGTAGACCAGGATGGAGTTGTCGATCTCCTCCCTGCTCATCATTGGAAGGTCGAGGTCCAGCGCGAACTCCAGGAATCGCCGCACGTTGGGCACGTAGCAGTTGAGGGCCGTCTTCTTCCCCACCGAGTAGGGCAGAAGCGAAAGCCCCGCCTCCGAGGTCTGCATGGGGCCAGATGGTCCAGCTCTCTGACTCTCATTTCGTCGATTGGTGGCGTGCATCCGCCGATCCTGGGAATGGTGACGCAGACGACCATCGGCGAGCGGCATCCCGTGGCAGGACCGAGGGAGGAAGCAGCAGGCCATGACGCTGAGCCACGTCCCGGAGACGGTCACCCTGAGGCCTCCAGGAAGGAGGCGGGCAACACGTCGATGTCCCGTATGTTGCGCCGCCTCCGCTCGAGCGTCTCCTTGATCAGCAGCTCCACGGCCCTCTCCGTGAACTCCGCCTCGCGCCGCTCGCACCCGTCCAGCATGGCGTCCAGGTGGCACTCGGCCAGCACGCGGCAGAGCTCGGACGAGTAAGCCTGAGCTACCCGCGTCCTGAAACGTCCCGTCTCGTCCTTCCCGCACAAACTCGCCGTGTGCGTCTTGTGAATACATGGGCGAATGAGCCGCTCCAGGTGCTTGGCTGTCCCCGATATAGTGGTCAACTTGAGCGCAGGACAGCCCCACATGCACTGAGGAAAAGTCACCCTGTAGGCCCCGAGAACCTCCTCCCACTCCAGCACCTCGGGCGTTGCGAAGATCGAGGGGAACGGCGGCTTCCCAGGGTCGGCAGGATGCTCCAGCGAGACTGAGCCCCCTCGGAGGGCGATCGCCCTGAGTACGCGCAGGCTGCTCAACAGCTGCGCCGAGCCCATCTCCACCTTCCTCAAGTCGGCGCCATGGAGACCTGGGCGGCCCCACGGGTGCGAGCGAAGGCGCACAGGCGGGGGTCCTCCAGGCTGGAAGCGCACCCTCGACCACGTAGCGCACGAAGGTCCAGCATGGCCTCCATCCACCTCCAGCTCGGCGAGCAGCTCCAGCCTCCGCACGTTCACCTCCTCGGACAGGTCGAACTCGGGCCCGAACCCGATGTCCACGTTCGTGCACTGCACCACGTACCCCCGACCGGCCGCGAGGCGGGCGAGCCAGAACTCCAAGTCGCCCGACCGTGTGTGGCCGCTGCAGAGGTGAAAGAAGCGCAGCACCTTCACCCTCACGGACCGGCCCAGCCGCAGCGGCGCGAAGGGATCCTCCTCCGCGATGTCCGCCAACTCCTCGATCACCTGCCCCGTCTCGGCGGGCAGCACGGTCTCGCCCTGCAGTCGCTCCTTCGGCGCCTGCCCGATCGGGAAGCCCCGGCTGGGGCCGTCGCTGTGGTTGCGGTCGGACGGCACCCAACGCCAGTACTCCCTCATGCCGCAACCCAGGTCGATCGCGGCCATCCGGCGGCACAGGATGAGGATCGGCTTGCTGGCCGACCTGCCCTTGCTGAAGCCGCCCAGGCACACCATGGAGTCGGCGATGCGAAGGTGACGGCGACCCCAGCTCGCACGCGACCGAGCGGAGTGCCTCACCGCCGCCAGACCCGTCCTCATCTCCAGAAGGTTGATGTGCTCCTTCTCGTCCCAGCGCCAGCGAACTACCTCCTTCCACCTCGACATGTCGTCCCAGCAAGCGTGCACCGGAGGTACCCTCACGCGCATCCCGAGCTCGACTCCCTCGGCGACTCGCCGATACGCCTCGCCTTCTGCCCAAGAGTCCGCCGCCCAGGAAGACGAGATGCCAGTCCAGACGGTCCACCCTCCTCTGACAGCAAAGCGTGCCTCTCGACGCATCTCCTGGATGTCGGCCTGGGCTGAGATAATGGCCCCCCCGTAGAGGCTCGCGTCGAACATCGTCACCGCGGGGTCCCAGGGCATGGCCAGGTCGACAGACACCAGCGGCACCACAGCCGCTGCCACGGCCAGCTCGCGAAGGACCTCGTCGGGCAGCCGACGGCGGGAGCCCCCTCGGAACTCCATGCACCAGTGGTAGACCTCCGAGAAAACGCTCAGGGCCCCTCGAGTGATCAGAAAGCCCCAGGACAGGATACCCACGATCTTGGCCACCGCGTCCGGGAACTCCGACCTCTGCCTGAGGATCTCGCTCACCCCGGCCACGGCCAGCCACATCTGGTCCTGGTTCGGGGCGAGGCGTGTGCCCACGAAGTCTCCACCGATCATCCGAGCCTGTCCCGAGCAGTCGTCTTTGTGCACGTTGAAACCCGCGGCGTTCACCAGGTACTTGGCTCCCAACCAGATGTCCCTGATCTGCGTAGGCGGCTCGGCGTCGGCGACGGGAGGGTAGTCCACCCCGATGATGCCGAAGTCGTCGATGTACTCGTAGTGGGCCGCAGGTACCTCCCGACTGATCAGGGGCAGCGGACCGCCTTCTGCCAGACGCTGCTCCTCGGCGAGGGCGGGCATGCCCACGGAGGGACCAGAGTTGAACAGGTCCTCCATAGTCGTCTGAGCCATCCAGCAGGCCCACGAGAAACCCATCAGCGCCACCCGCACACCGACGTGCTCGCCCGACCCGCTCAGGCGGGCGTCCGAGGGGAGAACGTCGAGCAGCTCCGAAGCCCGGACACCAGGCAGCACGAAGTAGGGCGCGATCGCCTCGCCCAGGTCCAACGTGTAGTAGAAGTCGGGGAGGTCGCCAGTACCAAAAACCATTCGAGCGCCCTCCTCCGTCATCTCCTCTGACACGTCCAAGAACGACATGGCACTGACACCGCCCATGGCACACCACGGCGGAGCCCGCCATCGTAGGTTGGAACGCCGCTGATCGAAGACCAAACGCAATGACACCAGAGGCTCGCCGTCCACGATCTCGGCCTTCTTCACCACACAGAAGAGCCCGACCTCGTCCACCTTTGACTCGCAGCGGCACAACATACCAGCCAGAGCCATGCGCCTGGCCAGCATCAGCATGTCCTTCTTGCGGCGGAAGTGCGGGTCCACGTAGTTCTTCACCTCCGCGGCCCTGACGCACTCCTCGCCATCCTCCTTCAGCATCTCCCTCTCGAAATCGTCCAACATCTGAGCCACTCTCGGCGACACAGACCTCGCACACACCGGCATTGAGCCCGGAGGAGGAAGAGCGACTCGCTCCCAATGGGCGGGAAACGTTTCGCCCCGGTCTGGCAGTCGTACCTGTCCACCAGCACACCTCCTCCGCAGCTCGGCCAACCGTTGGGTATAGGTCGACCGGGAGTGGTTCTCCGCCGCCGAAGCGGCGGGTCGCAGCCGCAAGATTGCGGCTCCTCGCTCGGGCGTCGAGGGAGGCGGTGGTAGGCGACGTACCTCCTCCAGCACACGCTTCGAGAGGTCCCCGTCCATGGTGCTGGGCAGTGGGCCTTGACCCCAGATCTCCCCAGGATGCAAGAGCTCGTCGCCCAACGTCCCACGATAAAGTTGGCGGAGTCCCAGCAAGCAACGATTGGCCCGCTGCGCAATGTCCACCTCCTCCCGCCAACGTGAAAGTACCCGCCGCGAGCTCGACGTTGGCCTCTCCGGTCGTGGAAAGAGCACCACCTCCGACAGGATGTCCCGCCTCCTCGACATGAATCACCCAATTCGTCGTGCAGTAGATCACCTGCTGGAACCCGACGCTCTTGCCGAAGTCCCACAGACTCGAAAACCAGAAGTAGAAGAGAAAAGTTGACCAGCCACGATGACGGGGCCGATCGCGTGCAGGGGCTCCTGGCGGACCTTCGCCAGTCAGCCCCGTGTGGCGTTCTCCGGGGCTCACGGCGGGCTCGCACCCCCGCCGTCCAGGTCCGTGCGTGCCTTGATCAGCTGCGCATCTCGACCCATTGCCTTCTTCACCTCCTCCTCGGCACTCATGACCCTGATCGTGCTCTCGTCGGCCAGCTGCGGGTCCAAGCGACGCGCCGCCTCCCAGTCGACCTTGGACTTCCAGCTCTTGGCGTCCTTGGGCCTGCTCCAGTCGTCCCGGCAGTGCACATTGCGGTAGGCCCTCACCAACGCGTACCCCTTGCGGACCAGCCTCTCGAAGCTCACCTGGTTCAAGAGCCCCTTCTGGCGGTCCGTCATGAGCATCGTGTCCACGGCCGCGAAGGTCGCAATCATCTCCCGCGCGGTGTTGCAGTCGGTGAGACCACGATCCCTGATGTAGTCCCTCGCCCAAGCCTCCGCCGTCTTCCCGGTCGAGTAGACCTCCGAGATCACGTCCGGCGCGATCCTCTCCCTGTAGCCCTCCGGCATCTTCGTGGCCCACTCCGAGGCCGGGCACTCCTTGAAGTCCTCCAGCTGCTCCAGGAAGACCTGCTGCGGCATCTGAGCCTTGAACCTCATCCGCTTGATGGCCAAGGACACCGCCTCGGCGGGCTCTGTAGCAGCACGCTTGTCGGGAGTCTCCATGGGCACCGTCGCGCCCCCGCGGGCCGGCGATGTGGGACCGCCCCCTGGGCCCACAGGCGTGGCAGGAGAGGGTCCCGCCGCTGCCGCAGGAGATCCCGCCACCGCGCCTCCCTGCAGGCGAGCCTCGAACTCGTCGAGCCGGCTCAGCATAGACTGGATCTGCAGCTGGTTGGCAGCAGCCACTTCGGCCCCACGGTCCGCGCTCGAGGACACAATTGCCGACCGCCTCAGCTCCCGAGCCCGCTCGGCAATCCTGATCTCGTTCAGCTCCGCGGCCATCGCCCTCTGAGACTCGGCTAAGTCGTCCAACTGGGCCACGAGAGCTGCGTCGGGGGCCGCCGCGACGGGATGGGGAGACGCCGAAGGTGGCGGCAAAGGAGGCCCCACGACAGCGGCCCCTCCGACGTCTCCGACCACGGACGATGCAGAGGACGAAGCCACTGATGAGTGACCAGGCTCCTCCCCTTCCTGCATCTCGTGGGCACCCCAGAACATGAGCAGGATGAGCGCCAACAGTAGAGCAGCCCAGCGACGCAGCGGCATGAGCTTCCGAGCCCAGTCCACCCACTCGCCTCCGTAGGACACCCACTCCTGGATCGTCTCGGACGACTCGATGAGCGCGTCCCGGCAGGCCACCATCCAGCTCACAAACGCGAGCCAAGTCTCCACGATCATATCCACCACCCCCAGGTACTTCAGAGCTTCGAACAGCACGAAGCCCAGCGCCAGCAGCCCCAGCACACGGTACGGCGAGCGCAATGCCCACCGCAGCGTACGCAGTGACGAGCGTGCCGAGCTGGCCATAGCATAGACCACGTTGATGGCGACGGCCTGCTGGGCCTGACGGCCCGGTCGATACAACTCCAGCGCTGGAATAGTACCCGCTCGCAGCCCGTCCGTAGCTTGCTGCATGAAGCTGTTCTTCTGCACCTGAGTGAGCGCCGGCAGCGCTTGCCAGCGGATCCCGGGCACGGGATCGGAGAAGACGGTCGTCTTCGCAGTGATCGTGATGGTACCCATGGAAAGATCTGGCAGCAAGGCCGCCCAGCAATTCCCAGTCTTCCGTCGAACTAAGAAAATCTCCTGGCCATCCGTCGCGCTCCGGCGGTAGTAGCGCCTGCTCCATACCTCCACTGGCATCGCCCGCTCCGGCGTGAAGTCCTCACCCTCCAGCGGATCCTCCTCAGGACTCGGCGGGTCACGGACCACGGTCACGAGCGTCCAGAGGAACACCAGGAGCGGCCCGCCGCAGCGCGCCGTCGCGAGGATTCGACCCCCGCCCTCTGGCAAGCACGGCGCCTGCCCCGCAAGGAACAAAGGGAGCTCCCCGCACTCAGAGCCCACCAGCTCCCAGGACGAGCCAGCAGAAGATATCGCACTGCCCGCGCGGGATGGAGAAGTCGAGCCCACTGACTCGAGCTCAAGCGAAATGGGCATGAACGCTTGAGCCCCAAAGAACTTGAGACGGAGAACACATGCATAACACGTTATACAGACGGCGCATCTGCTGCTCCCCGCCCCCCCCCGATGTCCAAGGTAAAGGTCGGGGGGGGGGGGGGGGGGGGGGGGTGAGAGGTGTGAGAGGTGGAGGCCGAAAAAATCATTGTATCATATACAACAGGGGTGAGAGGTGGAGGCCGAAAAAATCATTGTATCATATACAACACACATATCCTCGGGCGCGGAGGTCAGCGCAAGCCTCTCTCGCATCTTCGATAACGAAAGCTCTTTTACTATGGCAGGTTGCCCCGCTGTCCTTGCTACCCCCTGGCCTCTCGGCTATCAGGCAAGGCGACCGGGGCAGCGTCGCCCTGCCATCTTCAAGATAAAGAAGATGCGCCTGCAACATCTGCCAGCATCTGGGCTTCCCTCAGATGCTGGAGCTCTGCGCTGCAGCGCGCGGTAGTCTCAGAGGCGGATTGCTCCGCAAACGTGGCCAGCATGAATGGATTATCCATCAGCTGCTTCAATGGGCCTTTCGACCTTGCGTCGTTGACCGTCTGCAGCTCATGATCCGCGTATCCCATCACTATCTTCCGGCGGGACCGCGCAGCATCCATGGGTACAAGTCCGCCATGCTGGGCCAGTGTCCTGGCTACGAAGCAATCGAACGTCTCCAGATCATCGATGCTGTCGCCTCTCATCGTCGCCTTGGCGAGTATCGCGAGCAACCCTTGAGGCAGGTTTCCCTGCAGTTGTTGGCGCTCTTGCGCAGGGGGCGGCTCGCCCGTCAGCACCGTCTGGAACGATGTTGTACTTGTACTCGAGGCGGGTTGCCCCGCGGCTCCAAATCGAGCACAACTGATTGACAGATGTCCTGATGGCAACTTCGTTGTCGGCATGATCTTGGAGCCCTCGGGGAGTTCCATCTTGACCTGTCCCTTCCCAGGGAATATCAGTTTCTCCTGGCCTCGTTCGAGCACAATGATAGTGCGCTTGTCCTGCGTACTGTCGAGGCCCAGGATAGCTGGCAGGTCCCTGCCACAGTCTGACACAATAATAGTCTTGTACGAGTCGAGCTGGGCCGAGCCCTGGCACTCGCAGGCAATGCTGAAGGCGCCCGCGGTATCAGCTGGGGCCGACCCCTCGCCGACCTCGTTGATGTTCAATCGAGAACGAGGTTCAAACGTACAAGGACGATTCTCTGCCTCAGCAGCCTGGACGAACTTGCGGCTCGTATTTTCTCCCATTATGTTAATCTTCGAGCCCGCGTCTATGAGGATTGAATTTCCACCATCCTCAAGAAATGTCTTACTCGGCTGCTTGATGTGCACTGTCTCTGACGTGCCGGCTGCGCTGCCTGGCGGGTTCCCCCGCATCTCGGTCGTACTTCTTGGCGGGTCTCCCCGCATAGTGCTGGCACCTGGCCTTCCTGCGGCCATGCGTGCCAGGTCGATGCACTGGAAGTACGACGCGTTCTGGGCTTGAGCGCCCTGTTCCTCCCGCCAGTTGGCATACTCATCACGTATGCTCGTGTACTGTTCGCGGGTAGTGCGCCGCGTCAGCGTCAAGTACGAATGAAGGGTGATGTCCTGTAATCCCTCATTCGTAAGGTGGTCCCAGTATTGCAACCACTCGTCGAACTCATTGTTCGTGGCTGAGAGTTCGACGGCCCTGACTGCTGTTGCCGCTGTCGCCGCTGAAATGTCTGAGAGGTCAAACGACTCGCTCTCAGGACTATCGGCGTCCAGCATGAACGTGGCATGTGCATTGTCCATCTGGGTCTAGAAGTGGCGAAAACGCAGTTCTCGCAGCTGTTCAGGGTCTAGTGGCAGCTCGGCCCCACCCCCACCTTGGGGTGACATCGGAGGAGCCACCTGCCCGACTCCAGGCTCGTAATGAGTCAGAAGAATCGGCGCAGGTGGGATATTAGGCAGGTTTCCCTGCTGTGGCGCCGTCATCGGGATAAGCTGGTCGAAATATCCCGTCCCCATCGGCGTCCTCACCTCCTCGGGCGGGTTGCCCCGCTGTTGGGACTGTGCTGTCTGCCTGTCCAGCATACTGGCTGTCATTTCCTCCACCATGCCCCTCAACTCTCGCAGCTCCCTCGCTGCCTGTCCGGGAGCCTGAGTGACTGAGCCGGTCCATGGGAACGATGACGCTATGATGCCTGGCGCGCGGCAGATAGCACATACTGGTTGTTGAGGATCTCCTTC